AGAAACTTCCCTGCTCAACAAAAACTAGAAAATTTGGTGAGTTTTATTCTATATATTCTATCAATGCATGTATATCTTGGTGTTCAATTACAAATGACAACCCAACTCTTCACTAAAAGAAATTGTAGCTTAGAATTTAGAGAATATTTGATGCTAAATTCAAGTCTCTCATGATATTAACTTGTGTAGTCATGCAAATAGGATTAGGTTGTTGAAGGAGAAGTGAAGTACGCCTTAGACGACAACTAGAATTGCCTACTCATATAACTGTGACTTGCAAAAATAACCTTTGTCTCTGGAGTGAAAATGGAATTTGTAAACCTCTACTAAAATGTTATTCATCCAATGTATTGAAACCTAATTAATTTCCAAGTATGTTTATCACCGCCTTGTTCATGAATGACGCCTCCACCACTTTGTTTAAAAGTCTACATCAGTATTCCTTATTCGCCATGGTCACTGGCACGAAGGTGGTACATGTGGTAGCAAAAATACATGTTTAGAAGGAGGCTACCCGACCATATTTGAGAGCATTTCTTCTGTAGATCTACCTTTAATGGTGGATTTATTGAAGAAAACAGAGAGTAAAAATGTTTGTCCAATTTAGTTGATTAAACCTGGAGCTAGAAGTGTAAGGACGATGAAAAGGATGGAGGAATAAGTGCGAACAATCACGAAGAAAAAGATAGAGTTAATGCGCATTTTGGTTATTCCAGGAGATATTCAAAATTTTTGTTTATTTTTAGTTCTCTACGTGGTCCTCCAACAATTGCATTAATTGTTAAAAACTAAACCATTTAACTATGGTTATGTTAATGGATAAATGTCATACTTTGAAGGTGGTAGTGAGCATACACCATGGTTTATGAGGGTGAGCTCATCACTACAAATGTAGTGTATGCTCACCCTCCATTTCAAATCTTGACACCAGTTCTCTACTATAACCATGGTTAAGCTTAACATTTTTTATTGTCCTGCTACTTTTATGGGGAGAGAGAATCTATCTATTTACCACTTGTAATTTTGCCCATACTTTTTGTGTCATATATTTAGCGTAGTGCTCGTTTTCCAGACATTGAAAAATCTCTTGAGCAACAACCATTTGAGCACAATAATTTGACATCATTTAAAGCAAAATGCATTAGAATTTCATAAATTAGAAAAGGAAAAAAAAGACAATGTTTAAAATTCAAAATACAATTCCAATAAACTACATGCACACAAGGTATTAAAAACATACAAAATCATGAAGCAGTTGTACAACACCTTGTCTGAGTCGACTAAGCTGCGTGCCAATATGGAATTTCCAAACCTCTACTAAAATGCTATTCATTCAATGTATTAAAACCCCAATTAATTTCCAAGTATGTTTTTCAACTCCTTGTCCATGAATGACACCTCCACCACTTTGTTTGATACTTTGCATCGTTATTCCTTATTCGCCAGCGGTACTTGTGGTAGCAAAAATACATGTCAGGAGGAGGCTACTTGGCCATATTTGAGAGCATTTTTTTTTTCTGCATATATTACCTTTAATGATGGATTTATTGAAAAAAAATAAATAGTCATTTTAGATCTAAATCTGTTTGTAAGCATTTCAATATTCATGTGGCCCTGCAGCTTTTATTCTCCATGGCTCTAAATCCAGTTGTTCATATGTTCCATATATGTTGTCTTGGAGATATCGGTTACAAAGGTTTTGAAATTTAATTTTTAAACATATGAGAAATTTCTATACCTCTGTTTTTTGAAATCTAAATAAAAAAAATAAACGCCTAAGTTTACGATGTATGGTGAGTAGACGTCAAAGTTTAGGGTGGTGAACAAAAATACTCCCTACTTTAATTAAAACTAAATCATCTAACTATGATTATGTTAGTGGACATATGTCAAGCCTTGAAAGTAATGGTGAACATACATCACAGTTTATAATGTAAGCAAAAACACCCATAAATATGCAAATCATATCAAACTGTATCCTCAATATCACCACTCAACATGGATAGTCATACTTTGAGTAACAGATTACAATACTTTTGAGGTCCAAAAATTTTCTTTTAATGAAACTCATCAAAACAAAATTGTCGAAAGTTAAATTGGATAAATATTCATCAAAAGTTGGATTGTATTGAAACTAGTTGCACTAGAGGCTTTTTATTTAATAAATTTATTTCTTAGCCAAAAAAGGAAAGCAAAGATATCGTTCCAAAAAAATTTCTTCCAAATGTTACAAGGTACAAGAACTTGATCAAGCATTGCCTTGCATCTGCATCTTCTTTCCTCTCTTTTCTTTATCGGAGTTTTCTTTCTTTATAAAAACGTTTGCAAGAACAACATAATTGTCTTTTCCATAGTATACCTTGCATCTCTTTATTTTTTCTATTCTTTCTCAGGCAAAATCCAATACTTCTAGCGTATGAATTGTAATAATGATATGCTTCATCATCATTATCAAAAGTCATTCCAAGGGTTGGAATCTCACAAGCTTTGCTTGGAAGTTCTACTTTTTTCTCATTTTGATCCAAGACTTCAAAGTGTTCGAAATTCGAATCCAAGTGTATACAATCAAACTGTTCTTCATCAGTCACTGAAAGATGGGATATGAAACTACATATGGGGTATGAAACTCATTCTCATGACGTTCCATGAGAAAACCTATATAAGCATCGAATTATTTGATATTGATTTAAATTGACACCATAGTGCATTTAAAAAGAAACTACAAAAATACCAAAACACGAGCACATAAATAAGATACAAAGACTTGTGGAAATAAGCAGGGCCTTTCAAAGTGAATCTCAAGTAGTCTAACAGTACTATTTGCATATGCAATTTGTATTTATTCATTTATTTTAGATATCATACTTAACATTAGAAAAGCATAGACACACATACCTAATATTGAAAAGGCAAAACATAAGGAAAGAAAAAACAGAGAAAAAAAAAGAAGAAAAAAAAGCTACATGTGATCGAAGATTTGATAATATGAGTTGATGGTCATTAAATTAATACTATTGTTTCTACTGTAGGCTATAATTGGCGATTGGCTTTAGGAGCTCATAACGTGCAATAGCTTCGTATAAGTCTTATTTGGAGACAAATTACAGCATGCTGACGCATAAGACAGACAAAGAAATAAGGGAGGATTTGCTTATCTTTTCCTACTTGAAGACAAATTGCAAGTTCTTCAGTTTGAAAATGCCACTAAAGGCTTTAGAAAAAAAATGAGTCTTCAATTCTTGTGTGTTGGGTCTATTTGAATTCGAAAAAGAAACTTTTCTATGAAATTGTAAACACAAGAATCCTATAGAAAATGAAACAAGAACACGTGTACAAAGAATATTGGTATTAATGTAAATTTAGAGTTACAATCTTTTTACAACTTGAATCCTTTGATTCGATATCCGAAATATGTAGATGTGTTGTTGATCCAAGGGTTGCGATAACTTGATCTTGTATAAACGGATATCGCAAGGTTTTGGCTCTTGGCAATGGAGGAACCAACACGTGTAGGGGTGCTTGGTGGTTCTTCACAGGTTTGACGAAGAATGCTGAGGGTTTTTCGAGTCTTCTTAAGTGTTTGAGTTTTTAGGGGTTTAAGTGCTTGAGAGCTTCAGAATTTAAAAACTTTAGCATCTAGACGGGAAATGATTTCTGGACCCTTTCTTTGTCTTAGAGCTTCATAGACTCTCCAAGCCTTGCCTACAAATGGATTTAGCCTTCATTATGAGCTTGATTAGTTAACAAAAGAATCAGGACTCGATTTGTGGGCCGGTTAGTGGTTTGTCTCCATCAATTAATATTGATTTAATTAAATTAAAATCAAATAACTCATTGTCGCCAAGCATTGACATGTGTCTTTCTTGATGACTTATTTGATTTTGATGAGTCATATCCATGTGTCGGATTTGTGTGACACATGGCGCATGCCACGTATGCCCTTAGCATGTCGAAACTTTAATGTGTTAGTAAACATTTAATTCGTCAAAATTTCGATGTCTATAAAAATATAAAGGATGGGCAAAAAGTAATGGCAAAATTAAAAGTAAGTAATTAAAAGATAGATTTTTTTCTCCTCATAAAAGCAACTGGACAATAAAAAATGTTGAGCTTAACCATGATTATAGTAAATGACAGGTGTCAAGATTTAAAAAGGATGATGAACATATACCATAGTTTGTGATGGTGAGCAAAAATGCCATCTGGTGAGATACAACTTTGATGGTAGTGTCAAAGCTAATGATGAGGCTGCTTCAGTTAGAAATTTAAATGGTCACAATATTATAGTTGGATCATTTTCCCTTGGTTATTCTTCTATCATGCAGGCTAAAGCTATGGCTCTTCAACATTTGTTGTATTAGGTAGTACATATGCGTTTTTCGAAGGTTAATATCAAAGGAGATTCCAAAATTATTATTTATGAGAAACAAGTTCATATCCTTGGAGATCTGCTTTAGTTGTATACGACATTGGGCATCTTCTTCAACAAATTCCTCATAGCAGTATTACTCACATCTATCCCCAAGCAAATATGGTTGTGGAGGTTTCGCCGCCAATATCCTTGGGATCTGCTTTAAAGTTTGATCTGTATGGTGATAAGATTTTGTTATAGATTTTCTTTATAATGAATTTTGTATATATTTTAGATTTGTGATCAGGGAATGTTGAAATACCTCTGTGGATGGTTGAAAAGTCTGTATAAATCTTCTCGACTTCGAAAAAAATAGATAATCGTGATTTGCTACCAATTATCTATTTTTTTCAGAAAAAACAAAAAAAACACGCGTACTATTAAAATTATTAATTGTACATTGGCATTTGGCAATGAAAGTAAAAAAAAAATTAAAAAAATAAAAACCAAATTAATTGATTTTAAAAACCATTTGTCATGTAAAATAAATTCATTAAAATCTTCCAAAATCTAAATTAAGCACATCCAAAAAATTCACGGAATTCCACGTGTGCCGCGGCCATCCTTATCCTCCATTTCCTTCGCCCTAAGAATGAGAAATCTAGACTCTCGCTCCCAATTCTCGAATCACCCAAATCCCGATATGGTCACCGGCACCGGCTCCAAAAAACGGCATCGCGCCGTACACCCCGCCAGCTCCGCCACCGCCAGCAGCTCCAGCCGTCCTTGCGTCGCCGTCATCATCGACTCCCATGCCAGAAGACCCACCCATCCCGATCCCAACCCCATCCCGAGCCCGACTCTGAAACCCAACCCCACCACCCCCTACTCCTTCGACGACCCTTCCTCCGCCGATGTCATTCTCCGCCTCTTCGTCGATCCCTCACCCTTAGACCCCTCTGCGACGTCGTTATCTCTATCCCCCGCCACCACCGAGCCTCAGGACGATGTCGTTCTCCACCTCCACGCCCACGCCCTCCGCCGCTGCAAGTACTTCGCCGCCCTCTTATCCGACCGATGGCAGCGCCCCCACGCCCAAGACGACGCCGTACGCCACATCAGCCTGCGGGTCCCGCCGACCCCGGGCGCCATGGATGCTCGCATTTCCCTCCTCCAACTCCTCTACACCCCCGACCTCGCCTCGGCCGTAACCACCGTGTCGACGGCGCTCGACCTCCTCCCGGTTGCTTCGGAGCTTATCTTCGAGGATTGCGTTCGATTCTGCCTCCGATTCCTGGAGGCCGTCCCCTGGACCCAAGACGATGAAGCTCGAGTGCTCGCCCTAATCCCTCACCTGAGCGAAGACGAAGCCAAAGATCTCATCGCTAGGGTTTCTGGAACCCCCGATTCGAGCGAGGAGATGCTGTACGGTCTCATCCTCGCATTGACTCACAACCCGAGCATGGCGTTCGTCAAGGCCTTCGTCGCAAAGCTGCTGCGGGAGTTTGGGTCCAGAGACCTGGTGGAGCGAGTTCTGGATCGGGCATTTCAGACCACCTTCAAGGTCGTCAAGGAGTCCATGGAGGAGTACACGAGTCCTGGAGTCCGCGGCGACCACGACGAGACCGAGGCCATCCAGAGGCTCAACCTCCACACCGCAATGACCAATGGGAAGCACCTGGTGTGGCTCGTGGAGAGGATGATCGAGCTCCGAGTCGCGGACTCGGCCGTAAGGGAGTGGAGTGAGCAGCCTGCTTTCGCTGCCGATTTGCAGAGGGCTTTTCGGGATGATGCATGGAGAAATATTGTGCCAGGGCTACCTAGCATCCTGCTTCGCTGCACTTCGAGGCTTGCAAATGCCGTCGCTGCTGGAACCATTTTGGTAGATGCTCAGGTACTATTCCCATGTCATCTTTCCTGTTAGAGTATTCGTAGTAATTGAAGTTCTTTGTTGGAATATAGAGGTGGTTCTGTTAGTTCTACATTAGGTTATTGATTGGTCCATATGGTGCATTGCTCGATTAGAGTATTGGAAGCCACAACTTTTATGGGGCCTGTTCCTCATTTGAGCTTTTCTGTTTACGTTTTCGCGGTAGTTTTCAAATTACTGGTAAGTTGAACAACGTTGGCAATTTAGAACAGAAGAGAAGCTGAGCGGTAGTTTTAAACTAGATTATCACGACAGGCGGGAGCCGATGAACTCTGATGTTGGTTAGATTATCACGACAAGTGGGAGCCGATGAACTCTGATGTTGGTTTTCTTCAAACATTTGGAAAGTGGAATTATTGAGTGCAATTTCAGTGCTCTGTGAATATTTCTGCTGAACACCTGAACTGTGAATCTTTTAGTATTGACAGAACCAGCAGCAAACACTAGTCTATAAACGGTTATGTAAACTTGTAATCGTATGTTCGGATTGAGGGAAATAGAAAGGAAGAAGAAAGGTGGAGGGAAGCTTGAAATTTTTTCCTTTCCGTTTGGATGGTTAAATGTAGAGAGAAATGGAGAGTTTAGAAGAGTCTTAAAGCCTTGATTTGGGGTCCTTTTTCTCTTGTAAAGGAGATTTTATGTGTTGTTCGATTTTAAATTTTTCACAGATGCCAGCAGTTGTCTTCAAGGTTTTCTCTCCATTTATGTCCTAGTTCCTATCCAGCCAAAAAAAAAAACAATTGAATAACACACTCATCTGCTTTCTCTCATATTTGTTCTTTTCTCTTCTAGCGTAAAATACATTGTAAGTTGCCTCCTACTGAAGTGTGTATGGGCAAGAACTTTGCTGTATTGTTTTCATGCACGAGTGGTTATCCCCAAATGGAGCTGCAGTTATGTTTTCCTTTGATTTATCTTTTCCAAATGCTTTATAGAAACGTGTTTCGAGTTTTTGAACATCCTAATACTTGGATAATGCTGCTTGGTTAACAACACAATGTAACCGATCTTACTCTCATTCTTGTTTGTTAGGTGCCCAGGGGATTAGACAAAACAATTTATTTTTCCTTTACTGTTACAAAACTCATGGCCCGGACAGATGAGGTAACCTAAGGCTGATATTTATAATGTGTTTTTCAGGTTCGGAAGAAGCTTGTCAAAGATTGGCTTCCGGTTCTGATTGTTTGTAAAGATACCAATACTTCCCCTCTGACATCTAGTAACAAACCACTGTACTTGGATCTGGAAGAGATATTCCTCAGAATAATCTCGACACTGCCCATGTCAGATTCACAGGAGTTGCTGCAGCAGTGCCTCAGCTTCTCTACCAGGAATGTGGAGGACTGTCCTCACCTGGTCACGGCATTCAACACCTGGTTCCGCCGTGCGACTCATCCCCCTCAACTTCAGAATCTTTGTTAGAATCACGTGGCAGAATCAAGTACCTCTCAAGCTCAGAATCTTCTGTTAGAATGATGAGGGGTTTGTCTTTTGTTAATAGATGAACTAGTGCCGCGTTGGACTCTTGCCCTTGTGGATGTTTAGCTGTATCTAGCATTGTGCATATTAGCTTTTCCCGGTAAGCCAAAACTTTGCACTAAGTATATATAACTGCTTTTGATAGATTAACGGTGATCAGAGTTCGAGTGGATGTATATCTGGATCCTGAAAAAAACATATGAACCGAATCTTTACTACAATCTGATGTGTATACGGAATTATGGATTTCAGAATTTTCTGACTAACCAACATAACGAAGCCTAAAACGCTTCAGTGTTGCTTATGTGTGTCGATACCGTTTTGTTTCTTCTGTATATATGGATGTTTTTGTATTCAGTCCTACATTGCTGCAGTTGTTTTTTTTTCCCTGGAGAAGCCATATGTCAGAAGTATTTACGGGACAGAAAACCAGAAAGGCTGGACACCTTGTATCGGCAACGATATTACTCGTTACTTCTTCCTTCATGGTAGCTTGTATATTTACAATCAGGGGAAATGAAATATTAAAGTAGAATTAGAGAAGCCGGCGTCGAAAGTTGCGGGTGGTGCCTTGGTAGGTTCGGACCAGCAACCCGACTCCAATCCCTACTCCGATGCAGATGCTCAAGCCGATCCCGACACCGACTCTCACACCAGCATTGAACCATGAAAGCTCTCCGTCTTCAACTTCTAAATATGCCGCCCTAGAGTACATGTGATTTTCTCCGTTCTCCGGTTTGTAGTCTGAGTACTCCGACTCCTGCCAAGTTCAAACAAAACGAAATATGCTCAAACGAAGAAATTTTGAAATAAATAACCATCAGATTGGCAGCTAAAACCAAATTAGACCAAATTAATTAATCAACTGACCAAATAACCTGAGTACACAGTAATTGAAGCGAAGAAAAGTTGTGTAAAATGCTAATATCTCATCATCAAATACCCTTAGGTCTTGTTTGGTGTCGATGATTGGATTGGAATAGATAACTCGTACATTTAATGTATGCTGAATGAGAAAATGGATGCATTCAGTGTATGACAAATCCATCTTCTAACTTCAACGCAGACAACATTTGAAGGGTGGAATCCATTTCTTAATTTTTACACACGCTGAATCGGGTTAGTAATCCATTCCAGTCGAATCCTAGACACCAAAGGAGGCCTTAAAACAAGAGCACGCCATGTGGGAGGTCTGTTGATGATTTGCACCATATAATAGCAAATAAACACTGCTGCACAGAAATGTTATCATAATATGCAATATGGCCTCAAAAGATAAGTAGACAAGAGATGATTTCAGTGTACTTAGAGGTACTAGATTAGCATCATTTTATTTCGTCAACATAGTAGCGGTTCCCTTTTCATCAATTATTGATTGACCAGCGAATTTTGGGTTGGGATAATCTGCTGAAAGCCAAAAACGCAGGAGTATCATATGTACATATCTCTACCATAAGCAACTCAAGAACATGTAACATGATAAAAATGAGTTTTGTTCTGTTGACCTTCAGCTTCACAACATGAGCCTGTGCCACTACAAGAATCGTATTTCTAGCCAGCGGATCTAACATGGAACAATTTATGTACTTTTTCGGTGATTTTGCAATAAGAAAGTTTCACAGGTGAAGCGCAGGATCACCGAGCAATATGCAACAGAGAGCAAGGCAACTCAAACTCAAATTTGAAAATACATAAAGCATGAAAAACACTCGATCGGAAGTAGGTACCTGAAAAGCAAACCTAGGAGGAGGATTGTTTTTCTGGTCTTCGGTTGCCTCATACTCTGGTATGGAATCCAATAACCCTTTCCTCGCATGCTTCTTCCAAAGACCGAGCTGCAAAGTCTTCGTCAAAATTATTGGAGTGCCTGAGAAGGACCCTGCGATGTATACCTCAATCGAGGGTGAAGTAGACTCTGGCCCCATGAATTGCCTTCCTTTAAAGAAGCCAGTGCTTGCAACTACATCTGATTCACAACTCATGCTCCATCTCTGACCATGACGATCTGTTTCCCCAACAAAACCATTACTATCACATAGTTCTAGAACCCCAGATAGCACGACAACATCCTTGTCGAAAACCTCAAACTTCACACTTCCAGTCATCCTTATGCTGTCAGTGCTCACAAAAGTGGCTTCTTCAGACTTCTTATCCAAGCGATCCCTTCGGAGAAGGGTTGTTGCCCCATCTGAATAGATGCTAGTTCTAACACCATTAACTTCAAGAAGGGTATCAGGATCCAATGGAAAGTGATTTACTGTGAGGAACTCGGGAGCAGAATCATCGATCTCACATTTGCTAATTCTAACATAAAAGACTCTTACATCAAGCCAGGGTAGTGACACCTTGGATTGTCTCGCAACTATGTGGCCGTTTGATGCCTCATACGGATTACCCATGATCCTCAACGATTCAATTTTCCTCGATCAAATCCTCCTTCCACCTCACTACCGCAGTTGAGCTGATGAATGAAGATAGCCCATATATGTAATAAACCTCTGAGCATAAAGAACCTGCATGCATATCAATGAAATCAAATTAAACCGATAAGAACGGATACTCCACTTGAAATCTAATTAGCCAAAAGTCCGAGAAAGGTAAAATGAAATCAAATCAAAGCAAAATAAGAACAGAACCATCCTAAAAGCAAGTTTTTCTGCAAGAACTCAACTGAGGATCAAGCAGCTATTGATTACAGAGCAAGAGGAGCAGGAATAAGAAAACAAGCCAAACCGAAAACAAGGGATAAAATCATAAGAGAAAGGATAAGATGGGGAAAGTATATTGGAGAAAATAACAAGAAAAAAACCACGAGTCTTGAAAATATTAGAGAAAATGGAGAAATTCTTTGGATCTCAGGTTAGTTAAAAATCACATCGAAATCAAAATGAGATTCGTAACAAGAGATGACAAAGCCAAAGGATTGAACTTTGACTACTTACAAGCAGAGCGATATAGCTAAAAGCTGCTTTTTTTCGACTCCAAAATGTTGAACGGAATTATACAAGTCTAAAATTCACTAAAAAAAAGTAGTAAACCCAATAAAACTGGTCAATCAGCCTGCAAAAGCAAAACTAGTGACCATACTTCCCGGATCCCAACAAAACGAACAGACCAATTACCAGATCCGCCTATCATCGCCGTCATAACCATAAAAAAGATCATTAAAAAAACGACATGCGATAAACGACACACTTGCCACGCCATGGAAAACTCATCACTCACCACAAATATGCTCCACTACAAATACACAGAAATTAGTGGGCAGGCAAAGCAAATCAAAAGGTCATCGAATCAGGACGAAAACAGAGAGCTAAGAGTCTAAGACCAACCCAACTCCTCAAATTTGAGAAACAACAATGGGTTTCTCTTTATTTTTTCATTTACTTTTGTAATTGAGGATTTGGGATTGAGAAGATATAAATTTTTCGTTTTGTTTATTACAAGTGGGGTCGCACTGTATTGGATATTCCCCGGATGATCATCGGATCTTATCCTGGAAGATTAAGAGAGAGAGAGAGAGAGAGAGAGAGAGAGCATGCAAGTTCGTTCACGAAGCCAACGTGATCAGAGGGACGTCCAAAACTTTATTTTGTTATTCGTGAATCTATTGGAGGATCTATAATATCCCATGACGGCAAACCATAGGCCTCTGGATTTCCACATCTTTTTCTTTCAAAAGTTTCACTGAAAAAAGCTTACATGACCGTTGCCGCAACAGTATTTTATGCCAATGAAATAAAAACACGTTTATAAGTCTTTGCTCAAATGTTTTTGTTTCACTAGCACAGAGCACCACACAACGATACTTCTATGCCAAATAAGCTATTCCCAGTTTATAGAGAGGCGTTACAAAATGCGGCATAATAATACGATCTCCCAACATTACAAAAGCAAGTTTTACCGCACAATTGAGTATGTCGAGTTTTGTGCTTTGTAACATGTATGCTAATATCTTTCATTTTTGGGAAATACCCCAAAATGGGACAATTTCTTAATCTTAGGACAAAAATATGACAAACCGATCATGCACAAGCTATCCACACTATGCACAAAACCGAAATTACTAAAATACCCACATATAAAGGGTTATTTCCTCCAATTTTCTGATTTCTTTCTCTCTGCTCTTTATCTCCCTTCCTCTCTCTTCTCTCACTTTCTCCCTCACGCACTCTCTCCCCTTCTCATTGTGCACACATGGTGCAGTGTCATCCCGACCAACACCGTCCAAATCGAAGCCACCACCAATTTCATTTCGTCCTCACGATTCCAAAACACCTAGCCTTGTCACGAATCACATCCCCGATCGTTGGGATCAAAACTCAAATAGGTCGCGAGTTTCCCGGCCATTTTTCGGCAACACGGCATACAACCGAGGCTCAAGACCACTACCACTAGACTCGCATCGAGTGTGGGAACAAAGCATAGTCATTAAATGATGGTATTTTGTTGGATGAATTTTTTTCAAGATTTGCTCACTGTATGTACACGACATGTACATGATATGCTCACAGATCTGAGTCAACCCAAAAATTCAAAGCTCACAGCTCTCTTTTCGAAATCAGAAAAATGACGTCATCACTTGTGACATTGCCATCATATACACTATATGCACATCATATGTATAGTACATGCACATGATATGCACAGAACTGGAGATCAAGTAACGAGCTTCTTTTCGCATTAATAAGAAACTTTACCAACAACCTATTGGTATAGTGGATACAACAAAAACATAATTGTTACGTATATAAGGTTACAATGGCAGTTTGAAAAGTCTTGTTACCTACATCAATCACTACTTAATCGTGCACGTGGAAAACATGATACTCCTTGTCCTTATTTCATAGACATGCATGATCATTAACGTCCTCTAAGCTTTTTCTTAATATTTTTTTTTTTTTTTTTGCTAAGGCCAACTAAGTTGTAGTCATACTCACCAAAATTTCGAGGCACAGCATACGTGCATCATAACTAATGAACATTCCCGCTTCTCATATTAAGATGTAGCCATGCAAACCATATGCACATCACATGCACATTATATAAAAAATTTCACAAATTTGGCAAACTTTTAGATTGAGCTTGTGTGCATGTCGTGTACATACAGTGTATAAGCAAGCTCAATACGAAGAGAGTGAATGAGTACGCGAAACAATTTCGTCCATATCCTTTTTTCTTCCTTCTTTCCACTCTGACTTCTCTAATTTCCCTCAAATTTATCTCTTTTCCAAAAGGCAACTGACCTTTAATACGTTTTTTCGTTTAATTGTAGCAAAAGCCAAACCCTATTTTAGTGCTTGTAAATTTGAATCGAGAGAGGGAGCATAGGGAGGGAAAAGACGGAAGAAATAAAAACCCCCATATAAATCAGAGAAATGATAAAAAAAAAATAAAAAATAAAAAATGAAGGATTTGGGTCTCCTCCAAGAAACACCAAACCAATCACTTCAACTCCAAAAATCCATCAATCAAAAAGCAAAATTAAGCAAACCCAATTCACAAGACCTACAAATGAAAAGGTAAAAATCAAAGATGGGTGGGATAGAGAGAGCTCTTGTGCATATTTGAAATGTAGAGATAGAAAGAAAGAGAGAGCTTGGATGAAGAAGATGGGTGGGTTAGAGAAAGAGCTCTTGGATAAAGAAGATGGGTGGGTTAGGTTTCTTCGAATTGGAATTGGGCAAGAGATTTTCTCTCTCTCTCTCTCTCCTCTCTGTTTCTCTTTCTGCAAAATGAGAAATGAAGGCTGGAATTTCTGGATAACCCATTTATATGAGATGACAATTTGGTCATTTCAAGGTGTAAGAAAAATCTTATTTTTGTCCGCTTATTGTGCATAACGTGTGCATATTCGAAATGTCCTATTTTTATCCCAAGATTAAGAAATTGTCACATTTTTGGGTATTTCCCTTCAATTTTTTTTTTTTTTCACAGAAATGTTCTCTTGATGGATAGGTGATCATGAAATTCGTAGTCGCTCGTTTTTTTATATAAAATTCAATAGTGAATGGGTGATCATGAATTTTTGATCGCCAAATGACTAGGAAAAACAAGATGTGTAAGTGGATCGACCCATCAAGTTCCCACTGAAATAGATCCACAAGGCAAAGCACATATTGTTTCGTGGGTTATTAGGGGTATCTCAAAAACGTCGAGGTTGAAATATGATTTTCAAATTAAGTTTTCAATTAGTAGATTCTGTGAACAGGAGTGGCAATGACAAACGCAAAAAGGACGATCATCAATATTATTAAAAATCTGTTCGTTGATAACACGCCACTGTGTTTTGTTAGCAGCAATAATATTGACACATTTTCTCTATGCACCACAGATTCCGTAATCTAATATATATGCTAGAAGGCCATTCTTTCCGCCTTTACAAGACAGAACGAGAACGGAATATGCCGTAACACTTCCAATGACAGAAAAGAAAACATAATTCAGACTGCTAAAAACTAATCTACCCTTTATTAATGAACATGGTCTGAAGGCCCTCAAACCCAAATAAGCTCATACATTACATGTATCACATGAACCTAACAGGTACAGGCCCTATACTAGTAACCATACAAACTGAATGCAACATTCCTATGCTTCTAGGTTGATAGTCCACTAACTCTTCAGGCCAAGCATTACATCGCGCGCCATTGCAATCAAAGCGTCTGCCACAGTATAAGCAAACACCAAATTGATTTCAGAAATCGAATAACAAATAGCAATTTATATGCCATTGGCACGCAAGGAAGAAGGAGAGCAGTACAGTACAACTTGGTCGAAGAGGGGGAAGGTTGCTTGGTTAATTTCGGTTCATGTTCAGCTTCGGTCGAGAAGCCCTATCCAAGAATAATTTATCATTAGCCGATCTTGAACTCATTCAACAAAATCATGCTATGGCTATCTACTAAAGAAGCACAGGTAAAATTATCACACACAATTTAAGTAACAGAAGTTTGAGTAGTTTAGGCGGAGGTGCTTTAACCCTGATTATTAGGTTTTATTGGAGACTATTACATATCACAGGTGATTAGACCATGCAGTAATAACAGAATGAATAAGGTAATTAAGCAAATTTGCATCATCCGAAATGGTCGGTACAAATAGATGTTCTTCTCCAGCCATCATCGTGTCGACATTTTGTACTTGGTAAATAACTGGCAACGGTCATAGAGAACAAGAGCCACTAATGTGGATAGAACTTAGAACCACCTGGAAGAAAACCTTATTTCTCTCTATCAGTCATTGGTCACTTTGGAACCCATGAAGAACTATTCTTTTGTAAACTCCTGATTTTAACTACCCCTAAGTCCTACATTGAAGGATAGGAAAAATTCCAAATTTAGCATTATTCGAGCAGCCGGAAATCAGTTACACACACAAACTGTGTGATTAACCAAAAAACACAGCAAGTGTCCTAGGTCGTCTACCTTAGAAAGGTACTGGAGTAAATGCCAGTGAGCACACTAGCATCTAAACATTCAAGACAGTGGAACTATTTTTTAGGAACGCCTAATGTAATTTACACAATGCAATTGCCAGAAAGCAATGGGAAAAGGAAAAGAACAAAGGATGGAGGAACCAATATGCAAGCCTATTTGGTTGAAAGCTTGAAATAACCGGAGCATGGAGTCTTTGTCACCGAGGAACTGCAGCCTCTAAAAAGATCAATGAAGAAATAGGAAGATCACTAGATGAAGAAATTCTACCGACAAAGAAAAAACCAAATTGATTACTGGTGAGTAGGATATAACATGTTGAAGAAGAGTGTGTAGGCTCCGCGCTCGCAACCACTTAACAGCTAACTTAACAAATTTTCTAATGGTTGTATGAAATGAAGGGAAATAGTAACTAATGTATGGGATTGAAATGTTTTAAAGATGTTTTATGAGGTTGCAATTGTAATCAAACCTGAGGGGATAAAATATTAAAATGTAATTTACCCATAGTTTTTTCATGGGTACAGTAATCTAACTGTTTCGCATTCACATTACAAAATATACGCAATAGCCACCCATGAAAACATTATATACTAACACCACAGAAAGTTGCAAAGAAAAATCAATGCATCCATATGGATCATTTATACCACAGTAAGAAACTGCAATTCCATGCATTACTCATGTTCAACAATCTAACGGAAGTTTAACAGCAACAACTAAATAGCTGGACTGATTACCCTATGCACTGATTACCTCACATGGCCAGCAGGCCTTTGTCACAACGGTGAAGCAAGAACCATACCACGATGTAGAAAAAATGAGTCAGAAATAGACACCCAATGCAGAAAGAAGAAGTAATCAGTGCGCCACTAGACAAGAAACGACTAGCTTAAGAGCTATTCGTTGATTAACAGAATGCATCAATCACATCTGTGCACTGGGAACTTGAATTATTATCCAAATTTGACTGACCCGAGTTTTGATTCTCGAAATTAATGAGCAAAAAGAAGGCTACTGAAGAAAAGGCACAGCTTCCTTAACTTTGTTGAGATTTAGCTCTTCATTTGTTTACTCAACCATTCCAAAAGGCCAAGACATCCCAATTTATTTCACACAAAATAAAGGACTACCAAACACTCCCTGCATCCAGTTACCGATATAGCTATAGGTACAACTAACAAAATTAAACACCCACTCCAAAAAACCACAGATAAAAAAAAAAAAAAAAAAAAAAAAGGAAAAATTAGGTTCCCATCCCTATTTTTCCTACTCCATTGATTAAAACCTTATTCATTTTCAATTTTTTATCTATGTGCTTAGATTTTAATAAACATCATTAATTATTTCAATAATAAAATATCTTTTATCTCTAAATATATTCATTTAATGTTAGAAACGTTACATTTGATATATTTATATTTATGGCTAAATTTTGTATCATATATTTTTATTTTTTGTTTGTACCCATTTTTAATTTGCAACCTTTTTCTTAATTTGTACCAATTTTCTTTTCAGTTTTAATTTGTACTCATATTAATTCCTTTTTGTGCCCATATTTTTAAGCATTTATTTGTATTTGTACCCATTTTTAATTTGCTAAATGTACCCATGCTAATTATATGTATTTATTTTCTGTTTTAAAATATATCAATAGTTATTTTTTAAAATATGTTAATAATTATGTCCGTATATTATTTTTTTGCTATATTTTTTGTGAAGAACAATATTACTCTAAAATTGATTTTTAAGTATTTATTATATTTTAAAAATATTATTTGAATTTATGGGATATTAAATGCATGAGTTAAATCTCTTAAATGATGCTAAGGACCTCGATCAAAATATTTAAACAAACAAGATTTCAGTTTAGGTTGGATAAAGACCAGAACCATAATGACCCGAGTTTGGAAAAAAAAAAACCAACAAGTAAAAATTCAACGAAAAATAGAAAATGTGGGTAAGTAGGTTACCAAGAGAAACGGAGCTTCCACTAGTGGAATCGACGGCAATGTTGGACTTGAGCCGAGCAGAAGCAATGGCACTGTGAAGCGGCATCATCGATTCCATGCATCCCAATACCGAAACGAACCTATACAAATCACAACAACAATAATTTGTTAAAATTGGGTTTCTGAAGCCATAGAAATTGTTAAAATTGGATGAGTTGGAGCCTGGAGGGATTGAGAAGGCTGTACCTTGTAATAATTTGTTAAAATTGGGTTTCTGAAGCCACAGAAATTGTTAAAATTGGATGAGTTGGAGCCTGGAGGGATTGAGAAGGCTGTACCTTGTAGCGCAAGGAATTGTTCTGGTCGTGGAAGCAAATGGGGACGCCATGGCTGCGGGGTTTAGGGAGTTAAGGGAGGTTTGGGTGAGGGCTTTTGAGCGAGCAATGGACCTTGAGCCTGCCATTAGAGCTGATCTGCAGAAGGAGGCCATTTCTTGTTCGGGGGAAAAGAGAGAGAGAGAGAGAGCAGTTAGCCTTAACCCTACTCGTTTCTGAGGCGTTGTGAAACAAGGCCATTGAGCTGGGTTTCGCTTTCCCACTAAACGCCGCTCTTTCTTCTTCAATTAGGCCTGATGGGCCGAGTGAAATCATTATGGGCCTTGGGTCATTGGACAGTTGGTTGATGTTGTGGGTGGTGGCTCCGCCTCTTTGTATTTGAATTAAATTTTTTTATTATTAAATTAAAATAGTTTAAAATATCGTTTTATTTAAAAAAATAATAATACGAGTGAGCACACGATTGAGTGAAGCTAAAATTATTTGGATGTACACAGTTTGCTTGATTTAAATTTATCAAGCTAACTTGACTTGTTTGCATAACAAGCCAAATTTAAGGTTAAAACTCAACAACTCTACGTGTGAACTTTGTGATTACAAATTTCATACACGGTTGATTTGATGAATTTCCACCTGCAAGAGAACAAATATCGTTAACCTAATTGATGAACACTATGAAAAAAGGTAAAACTGTTAGGTAATTTTGTGATCTACTAACGACGTCAAAGGTGAAACTGTTATATTAAGCATATTGTCCACTTATAATTTTCCTTTTGGATGTGGATAATTTATGTCTCCACAAACCACTTCTCTAATTGAGGTGGGTTAGAGAGGTGGTTCACATGCGGCTTACAAAATGTGGTTTCTTAGAAAAAATTTCTCAAGAACAACATATATAAAAATTTAACAAATAACTAATTAGTAGAATGCAATCACATTAAGAAAGAGTATTGTTGCACTCCAAAACTATACTCAAGTTTATAAAACTACAATCAAAATATGTGTACGAATGAGTGTATGATATAATTTTTGGAGAACCAGTAACATCCTCATTGAGAAACCTTTTTTTTTTCTTTTGAAAAACATAAAAATTACAAAGAAGATCTTAGACGGGTCTTTAAACTATACATATCAAAATTGATCTTAAGTATGACTTCCTTAGGAAACTTATTAAACCAAATACAAGAGTGATTATATTTATATCATAAGTTGGCAAAAGCGTCAATTGCCATGTTTACTTCTCTATAAGTATGTTGAAATATGATATTGGGAATTTATCTCTGTAAATACCAGATATTTTGGATAGTAAATTGAATTCAGCAGGGTGCTTGTGTTTTTTGTTGAAGAATTTAGATTAAAATCTTGGCATAAATGCTTGTTTTAACGCTAAAGCTTCAGCCAGTAAGAGGTTCGAGATACCAATAGAAAAAGAACTTGCAAGGTTAGTTTGTCCTAAACAATTTCTAAACAGAAAACCTAGAGCAGCCTTACCATCATATTTCTAATTTTGAATATAATTGTGATTAGGTGGTTGCATCTACCCCACCATCGAGAAACATTGTTATCTTACTAGTTATAATAAATGAGAAAATATGAGAGTTAGGACTTAGGAGTTAATTAAGCTCTAATAGAAATAAACTCTTATATCACTTGAGTTGATGATATATTATGCGGAAGGTAACGTAGACACGTACATTTCAGAAAAACTTGACATTAATAATCTCTTTCTTTCTTTCTTTTATTTATTTTATTTTATTTTTTGTTTTTCTTTTATTTTTTGTTTTTTTTTTTTTTTTCAAAAAAGAGATCAGCTGATGGTTTTATGCAGGTCACATTTTTAGAAGCCGGAAAGACTCACAAATGTATTTCAACCTCCCTTATCCACTATCGTGTGATTCACCGGTGTTAGAAATCGATCCTAAGACGTGCCTGTGGAATACGGGTCTGAAATTCGTCTCCAACCACTGTATCACACCATGATGGTTACATATCATAATCCTCTCACCTTAATTTTGAGACCCTAGCTAAGAAGCGCTATTTGATACTCATTTCGTTTTCAGTTTTTACTAGCAGGACTGCCCGCGCTTTGCTGCGGGTTTTCAAATCATGAATAATATTCATAGAAAATTTAACTGAAAATGCTACAGCGATATAATCGCATTCTTAAATGTAACAATTTAGAGAACGCATGTTTTACATGAGTAACGCTCACAAAACCACACATTTACATAATTATCTCCAAATGAAAGAAAAAGCAAGAGATATGTGAATTGATCCATAAAATACGTAGTTTAATTTACATCGCTACTCATTAAGTCGATATCAAATAGAAGCTTCACATCACAATAATTAACCACAATCCTCTGTTTTTGTAAGTGCAAAATGAAAAACGGAATCAAATATTAAACCCAATATCTTCATAGCACAATGTTCAACCCAAAATCTTCACATTAGCTCAAGAACTATATTGTTTCCAGAGCTTTCCAATTTCCCAGCACGAAACAACAAACATAAAAGCATTAAAATAGCTCTAAATTAAAACAATATGATGAACTACAAAACGATAGAGGAAAGATTAAGAGCTTACCCTCACAAAATCAAAGCTCACCAAAATGCTTACCCTAACCAGAGAATCGTAGAGAATAAATCTGCATCAACATGTAAATCATAGAAAAAAAAATTAAAATTTATAAATACCATCATTTCACTACTAATTTGAATAAATCCAGAAACAATACATTGGAATAATCTTTTAGGTCTTCCAATATTAATAGGTTAGAAATTCAGAAGATAAAACACCACAATTCATTAAATTCAAAGTTGAACAATTCATTAAATTCAGAGCTTACCCACTGTAACATCAAATGATAGAAGCAAGACTTGTGTTAAAAGTCATGTGATGTGTATATTTACAGACACCAAGATTTTACATGACCAAGAAAGGGAATCACTCCATTAAAAAGAGAGGAACTACTGATACTGCAGGTACATTAACCAGACCACTAATTTTAAATGACAGCATATGCTCGAGTAAGCGAAAGACTAAAAGACAAAAAGAAGAGGGTTATATACCCGTTTCAATGTCATTGTCAGGGGCCTCTTAAACCTGGTTCCAGAATGAGGATAGTCCAACACTCTCGTAGTGACTAATACTTATTGTGACCTTCACTCAGTTTGTGAATTAGAAACTTGAAATACACCAAAAATTATATTAATAGCCATTCCCGTAATTTTAACTACTAACAGCGTAAAGAATTGGAAAATACAATTAAGACCAATGTTTTCCCCCTTTTTTTTCATTGCCATAAAAGGCAGAAAAACAAAGGCTTCTAAAACTCAAACCAACCGTCTCATTTCTTCCCAAAAATAAACACATTTTAATCCAACATTCATAAATGCGTGGTCAAACAGGGGAGAAAATTATGTTAATTTGGGCTTCAAATTTACAAACGTAACTGTTTACAATAAGCATATATAACATGATTTGGTCTGCAGTGCTTTCACCAATAGTTATAAAAAACAAAGATTCTAAAGATATGCATGCAATAGAATGACTATTACCTCCAAGTAAGCAATTGCATGGTTGCAATCTAAGTTGCACACATCATGTTCAATCTGATAGCTTCAGTATAGCACTTGACAACATTATTTCAGGCTTTTCCTTAAATGAAGTATTTCCCTGGGAAAAGATTAGCAAACATAGAAATTGAAACAATACACATAAGTACATTGGTATCCCAGTTCTTTGCTAATAGAAAATGAAATTAAGGGGATGGAGAGACCTAATTTCAACTTTTTGAAGGAGAACACCACACTTCATTCATATCAAAGAACAGCATGATTCCAATTTCAATTTTGAACATAATAAATCACATAGCATTCATATATTACTTCAACTTCTTTCAAATTTACTTTTGTATTTAAAGATTGTATATTTTAATGAGTCTAAATTGACTATATATAAATTCTACCTTTTTATATTTAAATAATAATGTACATTGTATAATTACAGTTATAGTCCATGAATACAATTAGAGGCCTTTGAATTTCTTTGCAAGAGAAGATTTACACGGAAAAGCAACTGCAAATATACAGAAGGAGGGAATTTGAGTTTTGTAGTCCATCTACTCAGCAATTTCTTAATATAGATACAACTGAGCAGTGGGAGAGCTTTAGCTAATACTATTCAATTCCACAGGTAATTATAAAAAAATAATCACATAATTTCTCACAATAAAAATCAATGTGACTAAAAACAAATGATATGTATCAACTTTGATGATTTCCCTTATTTTCCCTCTCCTTCCCAGCAACCAAACAGGGGCAAAAATTACCAAAAACTGAAAAGATTGAAGTACCTGAGCAAGTTGGAATGCCTGGGTTGCCATATACACTTGGTGTAAAAAAAATAAGGGTGGGCATTTTCAGAGCACCTAAACCCTTCATCCACAAACGTATGTAAAAAATCATACAAAATAATATTTTGAATGCATTAATCCGTAGAAACAAATAAGCTAAAATCGAACTTCTCTATCAGAAAGTAAAGACACGATCCAAAAATCCATTAACATAAAAAAGATGTCAATGTCCATTAGCAGCAAGTTTCTCACCTGGAAGACAAATCTCTTTTTCATTCCTTGAACTGATAGAAGACCTTTCATACGATATATGTCCTCACTTCGTTTCAACAACAGTGTACCAAGCCATATGTTAGCCTGAAAAAATAAAAACGAAATCAGTAGTCTTTGTCAGGTTTTCTTTCATACATGCCTGGACAAAGACTCTGGATGCAACTGGCCCTCAAATGTGTACTTGTCTCATTCAAAGGCAACAGGTCCACATGGAAGACACAGAAGAAATTATCAAATATATTGCAAAATACAACAAAACAGAGATCCTACCTTTTCAAGTTCTAAGTTCCCTTCACAAACTATGCTGACAGAAGAAACACCAGGATCATGAACATGATCATGGGTGTGGTGATCTTCATGATGGTCTGCACATCAGATTCAAATGTGTGAATATCAGTTCATAAATCAAATCACAATTATAGTGGAAGATCAGAACTCTTAAAGCAAATCAAAATATTATCCAATCAAAAACCAAACTAAAGCAAATCACATACGCAACAGAAGCCGAACACAAATCCCACATTTCACAACCAAATCATCATATTAGTTCGAAACATTAAATTCTAAGAACTAAAAATAATAATAACAGTACCATAAACTGAATCTTGAGGTGAGAACCTCTTGCTTTGCAACCTGCAACAAACCATAGAAATTAAAACCCACGAATCCACAATCAGATAAAAACAATTTTCCAAGAAAAACAAAACCAAGATTGGTATACAAAAGAGCATTAGATCTATAACCTGGAAAACAAAAAGAAAAAAAAAAAAGCCATACAAAAAACCCCAAAAAAAAAAAAAAAAAAAAAAAACCGACCTTAAGACAGAGAACAAACAGGCAGACAGAGAGATGAATGTGCAAAATGAGAGAAGAGCAAACTAATAAGGGAAATTAATATCTCTGATGATTCCCCCAAAATCTGACCTAACACACTAAAAAATTCGAAAATAATCCACTTATCTTTCGAAATCACTTATCTTTCTAAGCTGATAGAAAAAAAAAAAAAATTTAAAAAGCACTTATCTTTCGAAATCCAGGCATGCAGCGGTAGATCCGGATAATCCGTATCCCCACTTCTGAAATCGACGACTCATACCTTTCCCCTTCGCTGTCTTTCCATCGTCATCTCTCTCTCTCTCTCTCTCTCTTTCTTCCGCTCTCTGTCACAGTCTCCATCCCCCCGAAACCCTCATCGAAGGACAGCACACAACAACCCTCGAACTCAGTCAAAACCGAGAAGATATTACCCACTTTCCCACTTCTGAAATCCATCAGCCATACCTCTCCCCTGCGCTGTCTTCCCCTCGAAATCTCTCTCTGTCTGTCTCTCTGTCTCTCCGTTTCTTCCGCTCTCTGTGAGAGCTTCATTTCCCCGAAACCATAAATGAAAGACAGCAAGTGCAACCCTTACACGGCAACCCCTTAATTCACTCAAAACCGAGAGGACAAAATTGCCCTTCCAACCTAGTCCACAAATAATGGGTTTCTTGCAAATAAGGTGAAATAAAGGGGTAATTCGTCCTAAACCCTACGGACAAAATCACCCTTATCAGTTCAAATAATATCCTTCAAACCCAGCCCAATTCTCATGGTTTTTTTGTAAATAAGATGAAATCGAGGGGCAAACAATTGACTGTAGCCCAATGAACAGTCAATTGCTCCTTAGTTTTAGAATAGATAATTTTTATTTTTTAAAAAACTGAAAACTTATTTGGTTGCTTTAAAAAAAAAAAAAAAAACAACTGAAAACGAAATAATGATCAAACGGGTTTGGATGTTTCACTGTGGTCATTCCCCGACAAAGCGCAGCGCTTAGGTGGCCATTCCCAAATCGAACCCGAGTCGCGCAGAAGACGACCCATCGACTCAGCCATCACCGGCCATGGCTGCGATCTTAGCTAGGAAATCTCTCCAGGCTCTCCGCGCCAGACAGCTCGTGAGTTTATCCTCTGCGCTAGCTCCCTTTGTCTAATCCTCCGTTTGGTTTCTGAGAAAATTTGCTGAGAAAATTAAAAATCCAAAGCTCCCGTCGTGATGCTCACCTTTAGAGACATATCGAACTTAAATTTCCCAACTGTTTTACTCCTTCCAAATTTCTTGGATCAGGAGCATAGTACTGTTAATCTATTTGTTTGAGCAGAACTGAGCTATTTGCTTTGGTTTCTTAGATTTTTCGATTGAAAATCTGAATTTTTATTTATTTACTGTATTGATAGTTTTGGAACTATTATGGCTTTCTGACTGCGATATGTGTTGTGAGCTTTAGATTGTTGTCGTTAAACTCATTTGTTTTCACATGGGAAAGATTTAGAGTGGTTTATGACCTTATTTTTTTCGCATGGGAGGTGTATAATTACGGGTAGAGGAACGGACATAAAAAAATCGAAGAATTGAGTATGCCTTGCGGTGTCATTTGCTCTGAGAGTTAGAGGGGATTGTGGGGCTAATGAAAGGAGAATAGGGAAATTCTGGGTTATTGAGATTTAGAGTATGTTTGTTTCTTGGAATGGGGTTTTAGGAATTTATTCCAGGAGATGGGTTTTTAGGAGTAAGTGGAATTCAATGATTCTCGTTCCAGTATTTCAGTAACAATAAAAAAACTGTTTATCTATTTGAATTTGGGTTTTCCATATACTAGTTTCTGCACCTTCCGAAATAAATGAACTGATCGTTATGCTTTATCCCCATCAGTATCTTTGATATGTCAATTGTTTAGGAAACAGTCAGAAACAATTCCTTGTTAGGTTCTCTCCTTCAATTCTTTCATCTGCATTCTTTTTCTCAACTTTCAAATGAAATCTAATGAGTCTAAATTACGTCTTCCTTGTTTAGGAAACACTTTCATATATTTTATCATTTCAGCATAATTGTAGGGATAGCGTTATCAGACTTTTTGGGTTTATGTATACCTGTGTCATATTCTATTTTAGCTATTGGATGACACAAGATTTTACCAGTCTATTGTTTGGTTACTGTTTAGGTTGTACCAGGCCAAGCATTGCAGAGTTCTTCCTACTATGGACTGCGATCCAGTTCACAACACTTCTCAACCATAAAAGGTTCGCTATTCTGTAGGGTCACATAGTGTTGGAATAATGATTATTCAAGATAAAACTTCTATCTATATCATGTTTGTGTTAGGTGATTCATCATGTTGTGATATTATTTTTGAGAATACTTTTGTACTTATTTATGCCAACTTCAGAGGATGAGGAAAGAGAGCAACTCGCAAAGGAGATTTCCAAGGACTGGAGTTCTGGTAATCCCCCTTCCCGTCAAAGAAAAAAGATACCAGTATGTTTGTTCTTAATTTCGTGTTACAATATTATACTGCCATGTGAAATAATGGCCTCATTTTGATAATTACTTCAGTTTTTGATCGAAGCATAAACACATTGTTCCTCACTGAAATGGTTCGAGGTCTGATGCTTACGCTTAAGTACTTTTTTGAGAAAAAAGTTACTGTAAGTATCTTCCATCACACATTACCAAGTTTGTTTTTTCTTCTTTTTCTGCCAAATTGTGACTACTATCTTTCATTTTGCAGATCAATTATCCTTTTGAGAAGGGCCCCTTGAGTCCTCGTTTTCGTGGTGAACATGCCCTACGGCGATATCCTACGGGAGAAGAGCGTTGCATTGCGTGCAAGCTTTGTGAAGCTGTAAGAGTTGAAACCTTTCTTTTGGTATTCTAGGTTGTCAAATATGAATTTAAGACAACTTATAAATTTAGGATATGACAGTGAAAGCTCCTGCCTGCTAAAACTGTTTGAAAAATCAGTATACTTGTTTCGGCTTTGCTTTTAATTTTTGTGATATGTATTCCTTGAGCTGCTTTTGGCATCTTGGGCAATACCTGGAGCTTAGAAGACAGACAACGGTGCCTCCGGGTCACATTGAGAAAGCCATATTGAATTTTTGGCTTTGTTTGGCAGTTGTGCCTCATTTATGTCTAATTGCTTTCAGGTTTTGATATATTTTTTGGACTTTTCACATGTAAGCCCTTGATAAGTTTTAGATAAACACGTCAAACCCAATACTTTAGAGAAAACCCAACTGACTTGGTAATGGAGGAAGGATTTCTCAGCTAACAATCAATTAGAGCATGACATGGGGATGTATGAGGGTTTTTTTTTTTTTTTTTTTTTTTTTTTTTTTTTCCCCTCCAATTGAGCTCTTGAAAGTGTTTTGTATAAAACTTGTAATTGTTGGGTTGTGTTTTTTTTGAATTTGCTGATATTTTTTATGCGCACATGTAACGTATAAGATTATTCTGCTTTCAAACTTATATCTATATACGTGGTCTGCTTCTGCACTTGTGTTTAGTCTCTTGCTTTGGATGTAATTCAATCTCTCATAGAATTTGCAGAATCATTTCACTGTGCAAATCCTAAACAGGCGAGGTTCAGATGTTATGTTAATGTTATATGGTTTAAGCAGGAGCAGCTGAATGTAGCATTTCAACTTACAAAGAAGATTTATTTTATTTTATTTTTTCTCAGATCTGTCCTGCACAAGCAATAACAATTGAGGCTGAGGAACGAGAAGATGGTAGCCGTAGGACTACAAGGTGAAGCATCATTCTCCCTTCTTCCCCTCCCTGTTCCTTTCCCTCTCGTTATTCTCCTCACAGTTATCTAGTCTTTCAGGTATGACATTGACATGACAAAGTGCATCTACTGTGGATTCTGTCAAGAAGCATGTCCCGTTGATGCCATTGTCGAAGGACCAAACTTTGAATTCTCAACAGAGACTCATGAGGTTAATGAGCATTCTTTCTATTGACTCAGTGCAACTAATCCTATGTTTTCATCTTTATTTTTCTTACTTTGGGTAAAACAACTGATCCAAGCATTTGTTTCTGCCTTTGTTGCAGGAGCTTCTTTACGACAAGGAAAAGCTGCTTGAGAATGGAGATCGTTGGGAGACTGAGATTGCTGAGAACCTCAGATCTGAAAGCCTTTACCGCTGATTTTCCACCGATGGTTTCTTTCCTAGTTACCATACTCCCTTTTTCTCGACTTGTTGAGTATGTGGAAAAATAATAAGATCCCGGCATGGATCTTAAAGAGTTTGTATTGTTTGTTTCGCGATATCCTAACCGTTGTCATTGAGTCATTGTAAGTAATGATTCCAAATGCGACGTAGTTTCTTTCTTTAAGATTTTACACACATGAAGCATGCTCGAACTTGAAATCTTTTGAGAAACAAAATGTTGTAGGCACCAGAGAAGCATTTTCATTGTTCTGCAGTCTCTCTAGCTCTTTCAAATGAATTACTAGTTCTTTTGGTCAAGACATTGATAAATCTTCGGGATTGAAATTGTTCTTGAATCGATAGCATTTAGAAACCATTGGATTCAACATGGTTTCCTGTTAAAACATCTGAACAAGCGATTTTGGAGGGTTCTAGAACCATCTCCTTATGTTATGTGTACTCTACTAACACTCAAAAGTTAACGATGTCAAAATTATACTAATTTTTCCCATGTTAGTATAATTAAAATTTTAATTTGCCAAGTAAAAGTAATAGGTTTTTTGTTTTTGAGTGCTAGTGGAGTAAATGTGACATGAGAAGTGAGAAGGCTGAAATGAGAATGTAATTGATGAAGTTTAATATGTTGTAGCCTATTTTATTTGACAAAGAGAAGGGGGCCAGCGACAAGAGTAGAGAGAGAGGAGAGATGTGTTTGTAGAATTGTAGGGGAATTGTGTATTGAGGATGTGTTATCCTCTCTACATAGTGCCTTTATTTATAGTAGTAAAAGAAGAGAATAAATTCTTCATCCCCAAGGAATACAAGTCCATATAGGAAATAATAACTAGAATCAAAGCTAATCTAGGATTTACACAATCACACTTAAACTAGGAAAGTTCACAACACTCCCTCTTGAGTGTGTAAATACTCAAGGTAGATTCAGCATCAAGCAGAAGTTGAGGAAGTCAACTCGTCGGTACTGATTCTAAGGAACAACGCTTATTCTCAATAAGGTAGGAACTTGTGTAAGGTAGTAAATCTCACTAAAAACCCTAAGGCTATGACAAAAACCCTGAGTAGGGACAAAATCCATAGTTTAAGGAAAAATGCATGAGAAATGCAAAGTCAAAAGAAATGCCTATGGGACGTCGTCAGGGATATGACCAACCCAAGGTGGGTGCCTCATTAAAACCTAGTTAGGTAGCAATAACCTAGTGGGAAAAAAAATGCTCCTAATTGTAGGGAAAAAGAGTACATTAAGATAAAGCAAGTATTCTTCAGGATACTCCCCCTGAGTTTGACACAATTCTAAAGAGAAATAGCAATGTTACAACTCAAAAAGTTTAAGCATACCAATTCCTTGAACAAGCTTCTGAAACGTCACCTTAGGTAGTGATTTGGTGAAGAGGTCGACCAGATTGTCTTGTAAATGGATTTGTGTGACTTCAATCTTCTGATGTTCTTGTTGTTGATGTGAAAGGAAGAACTTCACGCAATGTGCTTGGTGTTGTCTCCTTTGATGTAAACCTTATCGAGCTGTTCGATGCATGTTGCGTTGTCTTCAAAGATCGTCGTAGGGACATCTACAGCAAGGTAGAGATTGCATGAGCTTCGAATATGGCCCATTACTGCTCTCAACCAAAAGCATTCCCAAGTTGCTTCATGTAAGGCGAGAATTTCAGCATGGTTAAAGGAAGTGGCAACTAAGGTCTGTTTAGTTGACCTCCAAGAGATTGCTGTGCTTCTAACGGTAAAGACATAACCTGTTTGAGAATGTACCTTGTGCGGATCAAATAAGTATCATGCATCCGCATAACCAACAAGGCGAGAATTGACTCGAGAAGCAGAGGGTGCGACATCACTCGAGGATCCATAGAGATAGAACAAGCCCAAACCCGTAGTACCCTTAAGGTAACGGAAGATGTCTTTCACGCCAGTCCAGTGTCTGCCTGTTGGTGCATTACTGTATCTTGCCAATAGATTAACAACGAAAGAGATGTTGGGTCTAGTGCATTGAGCTAACTACAATAAAGCGCCTATCACATTTAGATAAGGAACTTCAGGCTCCAAAATCTCTTCATCATCCTTCTTCGGACATAAGGGATCTCGTTTTGCATCTAGCGATCAAACGACCACATGAGTACTCGAAGGCTTCGTTTTATCCTCGTTAAAGCAGCACAACACTTTCCGGGTGTAGTTCGTTTGATGTACTAGGATTCCATCTGAACGGTGCTCTATCTCGATACTGAGACAGTATTGAGTCTTTTCTAAATCTTTCATCTCAAATTCCGACTTCAGGTGCACGACAGTTCTCATGAGCTCTTCAGGAGTTTCGATAAGGTTCATGTCATCGACATATATTGCAACTATCGCAAAACCGGAATTGACTTCTTAATGAACACACAATGGTATAGTTCATTGTTCACATATCCCTGACTAGTCAAATACTCACTAAGACGGTTATACCACATTCTTCCGGATTACTTCAAATCGTAAAGTTAATGCCTTAGCCGAATTGAGAATGTGTTCCAGTGTTTGGAAATATGTGGACCAGTCAATGTAAGTCCTTTAGGAACTTTCATATAGATTTCCGTATCAAGATCCTCATATAGATATGCAATTACTACGTCCATTAGCTGCATACTCAGTTTTTTGGAAACTACCAAACTGATAAGGTATCGAAAAGTAATCACATCCATAACAGGTGAATAAGTTTCGTCATAGTCAATCCCACGGCGTTGTGAAAAGCCTTGTGCAACAAGAAAAGCTTTGTAGGGCACAATTTCTTTCTTCTCATTAAGCTTCCGAACGAAAACCTACTTGTAGCCAACGGGCTTCACATGTGGAGGAGTAGCAGCTACAGGTCCAAACACCTTACGTTTTGTAAGCGAATCGAGTTCAACTTGGATTGCTTGTTTCCAGTTTGACCAAGTGGTTCTACATTGAAATTCATCAACGGAATGCGGTTCAATTTAATTGCTCAACATGATCTCAATAGTTACTACATATGCATCGTCGACGATCATCTTATTTCTACACCACACATCATCAGCATGAATAAGTAATTTTTATTTAATTGCTTACGATTGATTGCATGTGCACCTTGAATTACTAATCACCTTGATTAAAACTATCTAATTGTCTTAATACCTGATCACCATTAGGATCTTTAGAAAAGTAATTTGATGCAATTTTGGTCAGAAGGTTCCCTGAAATTGGCGCTAGCTTCTTGTGATTAATAATTGTAATTTCACTTAAGATGAGCACCACATCTTAAGGGTTGCATGGTTTTTCAAAGGGTTTTCATAAAGTATAATGAGTCTTTCATAAATCAGGAAAACCTAACCTTCAAAGTGGCATGTGTAGATCATAAGTAATTGGTAAAAATGCATAGGATTGCTAGGTGATGGTGGAACCCTAGTGCTTTCTTAATTTGTTTTTTTTTTCAAAACAGTTTACTTTCCCCTTCATCTTTAATATTGCAGATTAGTTTACTTTTATTAATTATATTCGTTTTAATTTAAGTAGGTTATAAAAGCAATCATCTCAACTTTATGCTTTACAATAATTAATTGGAATTTTGTTTGTTTCGAATTATTTAATAATCCCTGTGGAGAATGACCTTGCGAGAACCGTTTATGCTACAACAACCTTGTCATTCTTGCAAGTAATATAGGAGTTTTTGACCCATTTGCATGTGTGGTAAAATCCTTAGCTTGATAGAGCGAAATCTCACAATTCTCAGGAGGAGGATTCGTCTCTTCAAGGACACTTCCGTAATCTAGAATTTCCTTATGAGTTGGATAGAATGAGTAAGTGACAGTTGGATTCACGATTGGTTCTTCAGGTGCCTATGTCGTGGGTTTCCTTTTCCAGGGGTGTGAATCATTTGAACCTAGGGGTCTGCCACACTTTTGTGTAAGGGCAGATGATTGGCTAGTCGCTAATGTATGTGGATCACCAAGATTGGCGTCCCGAGCCTCCAAGAGGGAAGTCTGTCGTACATTTGGTACATCCATCTTTGCAGGTGCATTCGTAGCTGGAATATGTGATATTGTCACGCGCGCTAGATCAGTGAAAGCATCTAGCATGCTCTGAGTTATGCTCTAAATATCTAATATGCGCTGCACTTTAGTTTTAGATTGAGCGGTGCAGGGATCTAAATGAAACAAAGTGGGAGTCATCCATGATAATTCGCATCGTTCTTCAAGAATGTTGACGTTTTTATCTCCCCTTAACGAAGGGAATAATGTCTTATAGAAGTGACAATCCACGAAACGAGCAGTAAACAGATCATCTGTCAAAAGTGTTAAGTAACGAATAATTGAAGGATAATCATATCCGACATAGATTCCCATCCTTCGCTGATGCCTTATTTTTGTACGTAAAGGCTGCGAAATCGGCACATAGATCGCATAACCAAAAACGCGTAGATGCGTCAGGTTCGTATCTAGTAACTAACTTAATGGCGCTATAAGGTTGGGTCGCAACAAGCCTCAGGCGGACCAACATGGTTGCGTAGAATATTCCATGGCCCTAAGCAGCGATCGGAAGCTTGGTACGTATGACCAACGATCGAGCAATCATTTGTAAACGCTTAATGAATGCCTCTGCCAAGCTGTTTTGGGTGTGAATATGGGGTATTGGTTGTTCAACTTCAACCCTAACCGACATGCAATAGTCATCAAAAGTTTTAGATGTGAATTCTCTAGCATTATCCAATCGAATAGATTTGATCGGATAATTAGGGTGGCGAGCCTTGAGCTTAATAATCTGAGCTAACAGTTTAGAGAATGCAGCATTCCTTATGGACAACAAGCACACGTGTGACCAACGTGTGGAAGCGTCAACCAAAACCAGAAAATATCTTAATGGTCCGCATGGAGGGTGAATCGGTCCAAAAATGTCCCCCTGAATCCGTTCTAGAAAAATGGGAGGACTCAAACGAATCTTGTTATAAGAAGGCTGAGTAATAAGCTTTCCCATAGAACATGTTTAACATGCGATTCCTTGAATCGAACCTAAACTTCGGGTTAGTGGATGCTCGTGTGATTGTTTGAGGATACAACGCATCATTATTCGTCTAAGATGTCCCAAACGATCATGCCAAAGTGTAATTTCGTGCGCAATCCCATAGGTAGAGCCGGCCATATAGTGTTGTCCGATGGGCTCGAGAGGGTTGTCAGAGGTGCATTCTTAGGTACGAAGTTAGTGAAATAAATGCGTTCACGCAAAACGGTATCGTGGTTGCACTATTTGTCAAATAACTAACTTACCCACTAGTCATACCTAGAATGAAAAATTAATTTGAATTGGTCACAT